TGGTGTCGGGGATCATGATTATAATCGGACAAGCGTTCGTGGTCTTCAATTCCAAGTACCAGCGCACGATGGCGCTGAACTCGGTGGAGGCGGAGTACATGGCACTGAGTCTGTGCACTCAAGAAGTACTCTGGGTGCGGGCGATGCTCAAGGAAATCGTAAAACAGACTAACGAACGATTTCTTCATGGGCAAAGGAAATTTCCGACTTCAAAGGAAGTAGAGCAGCTTAGAAAATGATCCTAAGAAGGCGGTACAGATGGTACTAGAGGCCAAGCAAAAATTTTGCACCACACAGTGCACATCATATGTTAGACACAAGAGATGCGGTCAAATGAAGCAAAGAATCTAACTCTCAGCTTTAAGAACCGACCCTCTCCTCTCAAGAATGCGTACCAAGAAGAAGAATTGTTGTCAGCAGACGCCACACAACGAGCATACTAAATGTGGATCAGACAAATAGGACTGGATGGTACAAGAAATGTACAACCCCAAGATCGGTATCAAGTCCGTCTGATGAAGATTAGGAGGTTCCTGGATAAAGCAGTTGATGCCAAACGAATCTTCACGGAATTTACATCACCTGGCAAGAGCCGAGTGACGACAATCAAACACTACAGATAGATACATGGGGCATCTACTTAGGAAGTCCACACTGTCCGCAGTTCCTTAAGGTGAAGCGATTTATCAACTGGATAGAAAGAAAAATACTAGTGCATCACGTCAGTAAGATGAGAGCATCGATATGCTTTGCGCAGGAGAAAATGGACACATGCGAGCCGGATAAACAGATCTGACGGAGATGGGATGAGATGGTACAGCATTGACAAAAACGCGGAAGACATTTCGGTATGACGAAGACAGACATTGAAGGGAACTAGCTTGGAAGAGCTGCAAAGGACTGGGTCAAAGCTAGACAAGAGGAAGAGCACCAGGATACTACAACCCAGCAGTCAAGTGAGACGCCGGAGAAAATCTTTTGTAGGAAGAAAATAAAGCAGATTGATCCACCTTAATATAGTTGGCGAGGAGTACAAACAAAAACAACTGGGCCTATATGTAAGATGGTAGAAAGAAGGTAGTCGGGTCAGCAAAAGAGAGGCCAACAAAAGGAAGGAGGAACAAAAGCACAACAAGGCGAAGAAGGAGCAATAAGATAAAAACAGAAAGCAACGAAGATAAACCCAACAGAAAAAAGACAAGGAAGAAGTTGGGAATCAAGAAAGACGATTGCAGAAGAAGAAAAGGACCGACTAAGGATAAAAACTTAAGAATGGAAGAGATCGAGAAAAGGACAAACTTAGGATAAAAATTCAAGCAATGGAGGACCAACCATTAGTGACTCAGGAAAAATTATTGACGCAGCGCCAACACCGGGTAACACCGATTTGAAAACTGACATCAAACCAAATCAGAAGCATGGAGAAACTTTTAATTTTGGAGGAAACAGGAAAGCAGACCTAGAACCATTTCCAAATGTAGGACTTCCTCATCGAATGGGAGTGGAGTTTAAATGTACAAACAACTGAGAGTGTGATGCCTGACTAATAGCGACTTCAATTGGTGAATTGAATCGGAGATTTCCTTTGACGTGATCTTTTGTTTATGAACATTCTATACAGCCTGCAACCTGAGTTGCTTTCGGTATTGAGATACTATTGATGAAGTTAGATCTGTGTTTCGAATTTTTATTCCCCAAGAAACGGTCATCATCGTAGGTGGTGACCTCGTGGCCTGTACGTTGAATATTATCAATTGCTGTTCAAAATCAATGTAGTGATCAGTAGACTTGACCGTCATATTGTTGTGCAATTTTCTTCCATACACCGAGAAGCCCAATTTTTCAGAACTGGCAAGGTTTTACTCGAACTGATGTTATCATGAGAAAGTATCAATTGTTCATTCCTGCATCCTTGAGAATGTTTTTGAGTTGTTAACTCCCATCTATATTATGAAGGTGGTTACAAAACTATCTCAACATTCTCTGTCCTGCTACACATGATGAACTCTTTGCTTCATACGACACAGCACTAAGAGAGGGATCTCTAGCGATGTCAAATTTGAATCCGATCGTAAGCGAACTATCTGAGTAAATGATCACCCAGTAAAGCCAGGAAAGAAGAACAACTACCTGTGTCACGGGACTAGACACAGAAGCCCTAGCAGTATTGCAAACAGCTTACTCATGGGTCAAATGTAGATAACCTTACTCATAGTCGGTAAGAGGTGGACAGCTACACACAAGGTGACGGTCACCATGCACGTTGTCTACGCGGCCCACAGTCGGCCAATACGTTTTGTTCTTGCCACCTTGTTGCCACGGAGCAGGGAATGCAGCTTGTTCACGTGAGTATTTACGATTCCACACATCAGCCGCAACCTGGTCCACTGTGTGTGGTGCATGTTTCAAAGGCGAATCTTCGACAGCAATAACACCTGTGGCGACGTCTTCGATCTCGTGACGGATTATCGCTAACGCATCACAAAATCGATCCATCTCAGCTTTACTTTCACTCTCCGTTGGCTCAATCATGAGCGTGCCGGGTACAGGCCACGACATAGTCGGGCTATGGAAGCCAAAGTCTTGTAAACGCTTGGCCACGTCCTCTTCTACAATACCCAGCTCCTTAAAAGGGCGTATATCGATTATGAACTCGTGCGCGCATGTTCCGTTAGCACTTCGGTAGACTACTTCATAGTGGTTTTCGAGTTTCTTGGCCATGTAGTTTGCGTTCAAAATAGCTGTATATGTAGCCTGCTTTAAGCCGTCCTCGCCCAGCATATTGATGTACATCCAAGGAATCGGCAAAATACCTGCACTGCCAAAAGGCGACCCACTGACAGCCGAAGTTGTCTTCTTAACTGTGTGTTCACCCTCACCACCGGTAGGCATTACAGCATGACCCGGTAGAAACGGGGCTAAGTGTGCAGCGACGCCGATAGAACCAACACCGGGGCCACCGCCACCGTGAGGAATACAGAAGGTTTTGTGCAGGTTTAAGTGGCAAACATCAGCACCAATGCCTGCTGGATTGCACAGGGCCACTTGCGCATTCATGTTTGCGCCATCCATATACACTTGAGCTCCGTGCGAGTGGATGAGGTCTAGCATATCCTTAATACCAGGCTCGAATACACCAAATGTCGATGGGTACGTGATCATAATAGCGCTTAAATTGGCGGAGTGTTCAGCTGCTTTGGCAGCAAGATCTTCACGATCCACGTGGCCATTCTCATCCGATTTGATGACGACTACCTTCATTCCTGCCATGACAGCACTGGCTGGATTCGTACCGTGTGCTGACACGGGGATGAGGCACACGTTTCGATGGCCCTGGCCGATTGATCGCTGGTAATTGCGGATCGTCAACAGACCAGCGTATTCGCCCTGAGCGCCGCTTTGTGGCTGCGTAGACACAGCGCTAAAGCCCGTTATAACAGCAAGTGAATGATTGAGCGATTCAATAAGCTCGTGATATCCGGCGCTCTGATTTGCAGGTACAAACGGATGCACGTTGGTAAATTCCGGCCACGAAATCGGCGCCAGCTCCGACACGGCGTTAAGCTTCATGGTGCAGCTTCCCAGTGAGATCATTGAGTGATTCAGTGCCAGATCCTTGTCTTCTAGCTGCTTTAGATAACGGGTAAGTTCCGTCTCCGAGCGGTACTTATGAAAGATTTCGTGCTCTAGATACGACGACGTTCGCCGCAGACCTTCGGGAATGCTCTGCTTTTGAATCTCTTCTGCACGAGAACAGAGAGACTCACTTATATTTTTCGATACATCCTTCTCCGAAGCGCCAAATGCCAGTAACAACTGTTCTACGTCTTTCAAGGTGACACTTTCACCCATGGAAACACCAACGCGTTTGTCATCAATCACACGAATGTTCACGCCACGTTTCGTCGCTTTGGCTGCCACATCATTCGCAAAAGTGCCAGACTGGGACACGTCGATCTCCAATGTGTCGAAAAACGCATCATTTAGTACTTTACATTGAGGTGCGAACTTTTCTAAACCAGCCGCCAGTGTCGCCGCGTAAAAGTTAACACGCGACGCTATATTTTTCAGACCTACTGGTCCGTGATAAATAGCATAAGCAGCGGCCATATTAGCCAGCAGTGCCTGAGCCGTACAAATATTGCTTGTAGCCTTGTCCCGGCGAATATGTTGCTCTCGAGTCTGCATGGCCATACGCACAGCCGGTTCACCACGCGAATCTACTGAGACACCGATAATGCGGCCAGGCATTTTACGATAATATTTCTTGGTTGTGGCTAAGAAAGCAGCATGGGGACCACCAAACATCATCGGAACACCAAAGCGCTGGGCCGAACCAAGAGCAATATCAGCGCCCCACTCACCAGGTGGCGTAAGGTGAGTCAGACTCAATGGATCAGTAGCAACAGCAACCACAAATTTCGATTTATGCGCGTTGATAACAAAATCACGGTAATCGTTCACAGCACCGAACGTAGTGGGGTATTGTAACAACACACCACTGTATCCCTCATCTTTAAGGTCGAGATCAGTCTTCAGATTCCCTACAACCAGCTCAATTCCGACATTTTCAGCTCGTGTATGCATCATTCCAATGGTTTGCGGATGAACGTCCTGATCGACAAAAAATTTCGCACGTTTGCCGTTAAAATTACCGTGGGCTAATGCCATGGCTTCAGCGGCGGCGGTTGCTTCATCTAACAGCGAAGCATTCGCAAACTCGAGTCCAGTTAGATCTAAGATCATCGTTTGAAAGTTAAGCAGCATTTCAAGACGACCTTGCGACACTTCAGCCTGGTACGGAGTGTAACTCGTGTACCATCCTGGGTTTTCGAGGATGTGACGCACAATTGGTGCAGGCGTAAGTGTGTCATGAAATCCCATACCAATAAAAGACTTGAGCGTTTGATTTTTTGCTGCTATCTTTTTCAATTTCGCAAGAGCTTCGCTCTCGCTCAGCGGTGGTGGTAGATTTAGTGGCTTATGCAGCCGAATTTCAGCCGGCACTGTAGCAGCAACGAGGTCTTCGACAGTGTCAAAGCCTAAAGTGGCCAACATAGTCTTGCGATCCTTCTCGGAGGACACCCCAAGGTGACGGTGAACAAAAGCATCTGTCGGCGCATAAGTACATGATGTGGCCGTAGTACGAGCGATCACAGCGCGGGTCAGTGTCACGCGACGCGCGGATAAAATGCGCTGGAGCAACATTTTACTTGACAGACGTTCAAATCACGGCGCGAATACGTGAGTGTTTGTGATGTGCAACTTGATAAGCCAAACAACTTTACCGGTTTTAAAGCACCGCAAGCGGCATCCAATCATAGCGATCATGACTATAGCAATACGAACAATGATTGGTTTAAGCTTAATATATATTAACCAATCATTCGTAAAGAAGCGTAAACCCGAATTCATTGACGTTCCTCAATTTATCTCTTAAGTAATGTAATTTTTAAGTAACTGAATCACAAAGGTGCAAAGATTAGTGTTGGATTTGACTGGTAGAGCAATTCTTTCACAGCTACATAATCAAAACTATTTGACAGTAATTTGAAACTACGCGTGCAATACTTTGTGTAAATTTTGGCTTATGTTTCGAGTCGCGCTTGCGTCCATCGCATCGAACTTTGCCTTCCCACCCATTGTTACCGCACAAAGTTAGCCATTTGTTCTTCGCTAGTATCAAAGGCTGGTAATTTTTCCCTTCAGTAGCAGGATCAGAGATAGCTGTGAGGAACGCAGATAACATTTTAAAGCACTTCTGGGGCTGCGATTAGCGGCAAAGACATTTCTTAATCAATGCGTTTTTCACAGACTATATTGGCAAATACGCACCCGAAACCAATGTATCAAACCAGCTTCTTCCTTCATTATTAACATTTCAAGAAAATCTTGCTCGAAGCACATGTAGTGATAGTCAAATTGCTGTTTCTGCAAAGTATTGTGTTTGTCAAATACCCTGACCAAGTTCAAATTAGCAACTAAAGCATTATGTATCACAAAATTTGCGCACCACATTCGCTCCGTATCGAAGATGAACAACGCAGACTCTAAAACATCGCGAGGTACGAGGTGATACGTGCGTTCCAATTCAGTGATGGACAAAAAGACTGTACGATTGACACATGGATCGATTGGCCACGATGCAAATGACGTAGGACGCACGACTGTTTTCTCGCTTGGTGTCAAATTCATGTTGTTTTGCTTGCGATGCAAGTGCAAGTCCACACTTTCTTTTGCGATTGTTTCTACACGCTCAGTTTCCTCCTTCCTGGTAGCTTGTTGAAGCCGTCCCAGTCGACTTTCTTCCATTTTAAAGTTTTGCAATCGCTGCATCTAAAATCTTGCGTGAGATTTTAGTCAGGGCGTAGTACAACTTTCTACTTACTAACTCTTCGGGTTGTAAGTTGACTTCGTATGCATTTCGAGCTTTTAGCTCGACACGCAATTCGCTTGTCGACATGGCCCATGGATCGCATATTCTTCCCAATGATACAAAGCGTAGGTAAATAGTGTCGTCGTTATGAATATCTAAGAAATATAAAAGTTATCTTGTGTTGGTAGCAACAATTTCCAAACGACTAGCAGAGTTACAGCTCGACTCACAAGAACTATCTAGCGTCCCATCCAGACGTAATATTTGGCCTTTAAGAGTGAAAAAGTGATCAGAGAGTGAAAATTTTACAAGCAGGTTCTTGGAAAGAACCCATTGATCCACTAGGAAACGCTGCAAGTCTTTTATTGTTGTCGAAGGAGTCACAATCAACGGAAATTGTTGCTGCTTGAAGTCTTGTGTGCTTCTGTAGGCACGAGCATCCATGTTGATTCTGTCGATAAATTCATCTGGTATAATTTGGCAGGTGGCTATGAAGATTTTCAAGTTGTCAGGTGCATTAGACATTGGTTTTCAGCTTAGACGACCAAAGAGATGCTCAAAGAGATGTATCAAGGTGGTCCGAAAAGGCACTTGTCGATGATTATTTAAAACTTTCACTCAGCTCTAAATTTGATAAAACATCGCGTTGTAGAACAGAATATTACTTGATATCTTGACACTTTTCGCACAATCATTGGAGTATAGCGCGATACCAGATGCAACGAATGGCGATAGAAAGAACGAAGACAAAAATAAAGACGAATACATCGTCTATTGTCTTTCGGCCTTTTACCAGAAACTCTACTCAAAAATAGAAGACCATAACCGTTTAATAATGATGACAAGATTTAGAACCAGTACATTAAACACCAAACGCACCTTTCACGACGGGTTGACTTGAGAGCACAGTATTAACCAGAAAGCCAAGCCCGTTTTCGTCCGAGTTCTTTACATCCGGCAGTTTCATTGCCTTATGTAGCGCCATCGCACTCATAGAGACCAAAACTCTCACCAGTAGTACCCACAGCACAATGGGGGGATGAGTTACGAGAGATGACAGGAAAAATTCTAAATCTGCCACATCCGGCAGCCATCCTGAACTGCTTTTTGATTCACTCATTGCATCCATTTCCAAGCGTTGTGTCATTAAATGTTTCAATTTCTGCCTCATCTCTGGCTCCACCCACTCGCGCTCTAAATGTTGTCGAATTGAATCAATAGATACACCCTTGGAAACTAGCTCTTGATGATTCACAAAAGCCTCGTCCTCAGCAGCCCAGCTCGCTATAATGGATTGGAAGTCCATACACACAGCTGAGTAGATTGCGCCCGCCACAATCATGACTAAAATCAGCCTTTCTGCCAATAAATGAAGCTTTAACGCTATCGAGTGGCGACTCATCGTCGTATTAGTTACAGGAATAGTCGCCTTTAGAGTGTTTGGCGATAGCTGAGGCTTTTGCTGGTCCATATGCGATTCCTCATCAGCTGTCGTCTCATTATCCAGCAAGTCTTGCACCAATTGCTCGTTACGACGGCGTCTAGTCGCCGCTTGCCGTCTGCGCTGCGCTGGATCAACACGGAGTGAGATTTTCGGCTCCGTCAGCGAGTCGGCAGGCACCGACGCAGATGCCAAAAGCTCGTCCACACCCTCGTTCAGTTGCTGTTCCAGCTCTATTGTCTCATCAGATGATTGTGGTGTTTTAAGCGAAGTAACTTGGCCTTTTAACATTTTTAAACGAATGTCGCTGCTCTGTAATACGCGAGCACGACGAGCAGCACGCTTTTCCGCCGCCGTTAGTACCATGATACAGAGATTTTTTTAGTGAGAAAGCACACACAAAACATGAAATTTAACTACTTGCGGATAATGTCATTATTTATCCATAGATATCATTATTCTGATTGATCTAAATGTCCTGCAAGATAAAAAATGATAATATATTGTCTATGACAGGCTGGGACTCCAACATATACCACGCCTGAAAGAATTTATGAAAAAATTGCTGCGTTATAGAGTAAAGTAATTCCCTGATGTCCCTTAGTAGATAGCATGCAGATACTCATAGATAAACCAATCAACATTTTTCCTTCGGTATAACATGCAGAATAGGTTTGTGGCCGTCAGATTTGATTATTTAGTGAATAGATAAAATTCAGTCCTGCCTTCGATGCGTGCTCGTGTCCTGTAGCCTTAACCGAATCTGCAGTCTGAATAAAATTACAACGAGTTGCTGCCATCAAGCAAGTGGCCAGCTATTGAGTGTTAATTGCTACGAATTGTCCGTTCGATTTCTATATCGCAATTATAGGATATCAAGTTTTGGACACAACATTATTATCATTGTGCTCACGACTGTCGGTTTATAGGAGATGCTTCTAAAATTCGCTCATCACATCAATATGTGCTTTTTTAAGCATGTCTTCGGTTGCTAAGTAGTAACTAGGTTTTTAAGTGTATTTAACATTGTGGCGGGACACCTTGAAGCATATAAATTTTCTTAATGATAATGACGCTACGAATTTCGACAAGGTAGTCGTTGAAAGTCTCGTTCCGTCTTGTTCTATACAATACACCGAGACTCAAGTGTCAGTGGTTGCGACGGTATCAAGAAAGACATCTGGGAATCACAAGTTGTGCGGCATCTAGAAATGTACGGATTCAGGTGCTCGTGTAGCTTATGATTAGTCCCAATGGCTCACATGCAACTTTAATAGCAGCAGGTAAGCTGATCTGATAGGACTCAATGCTCACTCGATTAAACGCATGCTATTTCAGAGATTGTACATTAAGCTGCTGGCTGAACACACCTTTCCACTAGGACGAGACGCAACGCTGCCAAGTGGGCGCAACCGCTTGTGGCTACGAGACTTATCTGGTTCCGTCAGGACTAATAACACATGTCACTGGAACCAAAAAATTAGATATCATAACATTACGTAACTTAATAATAATCAAGTATCCATGTATTTGTGCTTAGACTATAGAATATGTGTAGCCTCTTATCTCTAAGATTCAGCTGCGAGAAGCAAGTATGTCGGATCCAAGACCAAAAAAGTGCCGTCTTCAAGCCACATCGCGCAAGGTTTTCCAATGGGGATACATAAACGCATCAAATATCAACTTCCGTCTATTCGTGTCATAATGTATAACTGTGGTGCCTGGTGCCTTGTTGAAGTGTATCCACGCGTAACTCTATTGTTGTATTGTTGACGGGCAACTCGATACTATGCACTTGGCGTATTACTGAATAAGCGTAGGCTAATCCCTGACTTATAAGGACACTCGCACTATTTATCGCCACAAACTACGATGCAAAGGTGCTAAAGTCGTAAATTCTACGAGTGCGCCAGACGCGCACCTTCTGTCTCGTCTACAGCTCTGATTTTGTGTTTTAATTGAACTTATAACAGCGAAACGATAATATGTGTCCCTAACGCGAAAGTTGTAGGTTTTTTTCTACCTAAACAGACGTGAACTTACAATATTTTCGAAGCCATTTAAGATAAAGCAGCTGGTGCACCATTGAAAACGAGACGAGTCGGCGTACCCCATTGTTTTTATCTCACAGGCGGGTAAAGGATCAGCAAAGTTATAGGCATCGTCCGGATTCGCACGAACCGATTTGGATGCTCTATTATTGCTTTCTAGCGAAGTAATTGTCAATCTTTCCCGCGATTTGACATTTTAAATGAAGTGACTAAGAACCAGATCTGTATTCTCATTTCTATATAAAATGCACGCTTGACCAACAAATAGGGAAATGGCCTATTCGCTTTTAAATGAATATTTGTAGTCACTAAGATGTAAAGTCTCGTACTCTGTGTCTTCAGGAATCGAGAGGTAATAAAAGGATACAATTTTCCTTGTGCTTGTAATTGAGTATTGACTTGAACAGCACGCAGCCCCAACGCTTTAACGCGTCTGTGGCCAGCGAGGGCTGCGGCTTGAAATCGGCTTACAAAGCATAAAAATAGAGATTGAGATGGGGAAATAGATTCGATATTCCCATGATAGGTTGTTTTAAGCCTAAGTGGATAGAGGCTGGTTCTATTAAAGGAGAGCCCTAATAAAATTTGAATGAAATCCAAGTCTCGTATGGCACTGGTCTCTGCCAACACAAGGTGAATCATCCTCGCTGCAAATGCGTGCGGCAATCATTCGAACAGCTGCACTTCAGTTTGCAATTCTCGCCGCCGAGCATCTGGAGCATTGAAGAGCCAACAGCAGCAAAAGAGATCACCTGCTTACCGTCCATACACATCCTGTTCCTTCACTCTGCCATACCATCTCAACCGACCTCATTTTCAATTTAACTGCGTTCACCTCACATCGAAACAAATGGCATGCAACATTCCAAGCTCCGCTGCCAAAACTATAACTTCGATCGAGTTTGATACTGAATTCTCCGGCGTGACCAACAACGACAGTAAACCATACGTCAAACGCTCAAATTATGGAAAGTGCCAGTACAAGACCGGCAAATGCTTTAACGAACGCACCGTTAAGCGCAATGGTGAAGCACATTCGCTCTGCGAGGAACACCGTGTCAAACAAAACATAATTCAACGTCGCAGCGATCGCAAGTACCAGACGGTACACGCTGTTCGTCGTCGTGAGCGGTCGCAACGTCGAGCGGTGCTGAAAAAACAAGTCTCGCTGGCGGCGGCTCAGCAACTGTTTTATGAACATCAACAACAGAAGACGATGGGCATACCGCTATCGCAATACCATTCAATGCATTTGCTGACGACCAATCCCAACGATGTTGCTCTAACAAATTCAAGTGAGAGTAAGAATATGGGTCTTGCTCCACCAATACAGGTGCCACCACCAAATCTCATGTCTGATGACCACAGCACTATTGGATCGTCTTTGGTTTTGTCTATTCAACATCAGAATAGTTTTTCTGGAGCTGCTGATCGCAAAATTGAAATTGCATTAAACGACGAATCGTCTCCAACGGGCATTGATGACTTTGCTCTGAACATGTTTCTGACCATTCCATCTTCCAGTAGGGGGCATAGCATGCCAACTCTTAGGGATGACGAGATTGAGGGCAGCAGTGGCTTGGCGGACAACTTTGGTTTCGTGCCAATTACATCACATTCTGATGACAAAGAAATGTGGAGCGACGATGATATCGAATTCTTGCAGACCATTTTGCTTTCTTAAACGCATTTGGCTTCAAAACGGCATTTCGCCTTCTCACCTTACCGAGTTATTCAACTGTCGCTATTCCAATTATTAGAGTGCAGATGATAAACTCCTTACCATTGTATTTGTTATACGGATCAAAATAAAAGCGTCGTTATTAATCTTTTTGCTATGTTGAGTTCCTATCCAGATTAGACTAATAGCAACAATCCATAAATCAAATTATTTTCTTTCGAACATTATTTAAAAAAGCGCCAGTATTTGGTTCTTAATTGCTTCTTAATGTTACGACGTGTCCAGCATACGTTCGAGATAATGCCAGGCGTGCCTATTGTGTGGCGAAATTCGCTCATAATCTATAATTTTAAGCCGAGACTTTCGCAATCTCCAGGTTGCTAATCACGAACCGTTCGAACAAGAGAAATGTCATACACAACAGGGAAGTAGCGCATTTGCGGAATATATAGCAACATCTGCGATTCGCAAGAGCAGCACAATCGAATCTGCGTTAGCGAACATGGCAGCAGCACAAACAACGCTACCGAGCATGTTGTCCACGAACATGGTATGGTAAGCATTGTAACGTCATGGATCGAAATATCAAGCTATAACTGTTGTCGAGATGACAATATTTTTCGATGCGCTAGACACCATGCAATATTACTTCGGGCGTTTTTAAAAAAATTATACCAGATCGCTCAAATGAAAGTTTGAAACTTGTTTGCTGGCTCAGACATTGTTTTTTAGTAGTAGCTGCGTTCAAGATCTCCGACGATGCAAGAACCCACGATCGCATGCATTTCGTTAATGAAGGGTGGACACAGTTGAGAATCCTATTTTAGCAAATCCACATATTGAGCTTATCGCGGTGACGATTTTCTTCGTTTGCGGGTCAATCGCTCAAGATTGTCTGCTCAGATAAGCGCCGTTTCTATATTCTCATCACAGTTTCCGGTGACATTTCGGAGAACGTGACAATGTCTCAGTTAAGAAAGCATTATATATACAGTCTTGCGGTAGCCACACGCTGATACCGTAACAGGGCGCTTGATTCAGCGTTGCGAGGGTAGTCGTATTTAACGCTTTGATCAATTTTCTGACGCGAGTATTCGTACAAATCTGGACTGGAGGCTAACGCGTCTCTAGATAACCATCTACAGTGAGCTTTGCCTTATTTAGGTTAACACAGGAAATTATTTATCTTCTATTTTTATGTGCTGATTGAGCTTTTAGATCGAGAGAAAAAAAATGTTTAGGATGCCTAATGTAAAACGGGCGGAAATGCAAAGCTAGAAGGCGCCGCGTTATAGTTGTGCCACGATCACCGAAAGCCAAAGCACAAATTTAAACTGTCAAAACTAATCAGTTACCTATTTTGAATGACGCAATGTTTTGTGGTTTTCTTCTAAGCAAGTCAATAGCCTATGGTGGCAATGTGTCACAGTTGCGTCAAAGAATATATTGGTGGGTTCCGGACCCCTTCATTTCATGTTCGTTTGCATAAAAAATATTTCGAAAATGTTTATTTCGCTGGTTTACTTTAACGTGTCTTATTGGATATCGAGATCCTACTCAAGATTATGCAGGAATTCTCAGGTGCGCAGCAAAATGTATCCTCTACAATTTTGTTCTAAAATACCATTGTTACTGCGTACCTTGGTCTCTGATTACCATTCGCAGCTGAAAGAAACCTTCCTGATATTACTTATTGCAACAGCTGAATATTCTCTGATCTCTTGTATTCGTAATGATCCGATTACGTATCAAGCAACATTACGTTCGCGCAAACATTAACGTCGTTAAATAACATCAACATTGTGAAAGGTTTACAAGAATAGCTCAATGTCAAGGTAAAGGCAAAGATTCTGGTCGCGTGTGTATCGGCTGATTGCCATTCAAGCAGCAAGCAATTCAAATGCCGTAACGAGTTGAACTCAATCCTAAAAGCGCTGAGATGTACGGGCTAGTGTCAAAAAATTACATTCTAACTGCTTGAGTCTATGTGTAATGTGGGTACGTACCCATCCATAATACGGTGTACGTGCATATCACACTGCCGTTTTTGCGCAGTTTAAAAATACAGTGGTGATTGATGTATCATCATGATGAGAAATCAAAGAGGATAAAAATGGATCCGTCGTATACGTCTCATATATACAGGATCCATAGTATAACTTATATGTATGTCATTACAGTTAGAGATAAAATAAATCCACATTTTTGTAAGAGGAAAGTACTTGAATAACTTTAAAAATTATCGGGTCAATATCTTCGCCATATCCGCCTGCTGGTCCTGCTTCCCGATGAAGAAACCAGAGAGATTACGACGGCGCCAAGGACACACTTGTTCATGTTCGCAAATAACTTATTAACGCGGACAGACTCGCAAGTTTTTGCGTGTGCTGCACGACAATGGTCATATATATCGTCAGATTGGTTTATGCGTAGCCACGATGTGGCCTGCATAGTTGTGCCGTCAAACGGTTGAATGCCACTGCTGCATTAGCCCCTATGGCACTCATAAAACATCACGATTATAAAACTCACCGCAGGAAGAGAAACTTGACACCAGTTGAGAATTTTCATCAATCAGGTGACTGCACATTGTTAAGTGCAGTCACCATACTTTTCTGCGGCCATAATTATCGGAAAATGGCATTTTAACCGGAATCATGATGTACTTAGCTTGGTATAAGCATGTACAATTCTTTACTTGCCGTTTAACACAAAAAAATGGAGCCGGGGTTGTTGAGTAGTGGAAGGCAAATGCCAAAGTGAATTAGCTAGCAGCCAAACAATCTACCCTTCCTACATATCTGTAATTACCTTCTTGTGTGCCCTTCTTGTTCCCTGTTCCTTGGTAGCAGCCGCTCTCGAGCTTCTTCCTGCGACGCCCCGACAAGATGAAAGTCGCGAGAAAGAAGTTCTGGATGTGATCCAATCA